TAACATTTGTTGTATTTTTGTGGTGGGCTTGAATACTGTTTGTAGGTTGTGTTTTTTCATAAGTTTCTCCATGCGGTCCGTGACCCCTTTGATGTGTGGCAGAAATTCTTTATTTGTGGGTGGCTGTATTTCTTCTTCAGTGTTGTTTTCTTGGTTTGATGGCTCTTGTGATTTCATTTTTGGAATAGCCATTTTTCTGTAGGGCCCAATTCAGATGGTTGAGTTCGGTCCTGAGAAATTCAGATGAGGTTTGTCCAATGTGGGTCTGTAGGAGGGTGGCTAGGTATTTGGCTAAGTCATATGGTGGGGAGCCAATGGCACTTACAAACTAAAGAAGAAAAACAGCCACCCACAAATAAAGTATTTCTGCCATACATCAAGATGCCGGCCACAGAGACTGGTGAAACATTAGGAAGAACAACCTTCAGAACATGGCCAAAGAACCCGAAAAACCCACAACAACCACTGGAAGACAATATTTATATAGAAACCCCTGTGAAAGTATTTCAGATATCTAAAAATATATCAATGCATAACTGTGATCTATAAGCCATAAATTCATCTGTCAACGTCACAAGGTCTTCTCTCTATTGAGTTATTGGATGTGAAGGCAGAGATGCATGACTATTGTTGTCAATCTTCCCTCCTGTGAAATTTCTCCCCTGACTAGCTCTCTCATAAATCTGAAATAGCATTCCTTTTAAAAGCCCTTTTTATTTAAAAAAAAAAATCATTCGAATCTGCTCTTATTTCTGTACCAGATTTCTTTTTCATGAGGTCCTGCAGTTTTTGTCCCACCCAAACTCGTGGTTTATTTTTCCCATTCCTTTGTACCCAGGATGAAGTTTAGTGCATTGGTGCTTCCCATATTCAATGATGCTCATGATGGGAGCATCCCAGTCAGAAACTTTTAGATTCTCTGTTTATGAAAACCAGACTAGATTTTCTTAAAAGACTGAAGCAAGCAATACCTCCTTGCCATACCTTCTTACATTGGGATCTCTGAAAGAAACCAGTTGTTCTTTCTTTAAGGATTAAATGTGTTGATTTAAGAACTCTTCTGCCAAGAGCCCAGATTAGCATCACACCAGCACTCAAAGGAGAACTCCAGTGTCATATACAGTGGAGAGATAGGGAGATGGAAGAAGTCAAGGTAGAAGAGGGGGAAATGCTGGATGGCTGAGGAAGAAAGGGTACAAGTGGAGGCGGAGAAATAAATCTGGACACAGCAATTATAAGATGCAGGATAAAAAAAATAAAGGGAAACAAAGCATGACAGATGGCATTTCTGGAAAACCCTATGATACAAATTTAAAATAATTAAAATCTGCAGAGAATTTCTAAAATTAGTAATGGCTGCTATAAAAATAAGACTCCAAACATAAGAATTTTACTTACCAGGATCATTTTTCTGGCACCCTGTATGTGGGGGAAAGGATACAGTTTGTAAGTAGAAAGCATTTGGATTTCAAGTTATAATAGAGTCATGTAATGGGATGGTGGCAGGGAGGGGAAAAATATACTGTATATAACTTCCCAGTTCCCGGGTCAATGACACTGGATGTAAGAAGCTTACCCACAAAGGTGAGGAGCAATGCAAAAACGATTCCCCTCATGATGCAGGTGAATGCAAAAACTTTCGGGGAAGAACACCACTTTTATACACAATAAATTATTAACAAGGATTTGCTGCTGGGGGGAGGAGTTACTGAGTTATCAACTTCTAATCTTTACTCAAACATGCTTCAGGCATCAATATTGGCTTTTGGCTTCCTAAAGAGGAAAATACTTTTCGGTGCTATCCTCGCAAACAGTCGACTGTCAGGATGCCTTTTCAACCACCACTACCCCCAACTATCTGACTATTTCATTTTCATCATTTGGGCTGTGTAGCTGTCATCACTTCACCTGAATTCACTGATGGCATATAAACGGGGGATTTGCAATAATAGGTAGTTGTACAGAATGCTTCTGTCAGATGTTCCTGGGGGACAGTTGTGCATTACACTCCTCTTCCCTTTTGCTTGGTCTTCCATTTCTCTTCTCCCCGCAGAAAATAACTGGCAGCCTGTAGTTCATGAGTACTCTTTCTCACCGAGCTGTTTTTATATATTTGGGGTCTCCAAAGAGTTCCTCCAATATAATATAATATTATAATATTAATATAATGTAATGTAATGTAATGTAATGTAATGTAATGTAATGTAATGTAATGTAATATAAACCAGAGGTCCCCAACCCCCGGTCTGCGGTCCTGTGCCGGTCCGTTGCCTGAGCCGGATTGGGCTGCAAAGACAGACCTCCCGCCCCCCCAAGCACTCACCCACACACAGCTGATTTGTGCATGCATGCACACTCCAGCATGCCCATGCGAGCGCCGTTCCACTGTTTGCGCACATAAGCGCATGACCGTGTGCATGCCTGCACAAGCGCCACTCTGCCATTTGTGCATGCACATGATTATGCATGTGCCCGTACAAGCGCCACACTGCTGTTTGCCCATGCGCATGAGTACACACTTGTTTGTGCGATAGCGCATGCACTTGTTCATGCATGCGCACGAGCGCAGGGTGTGCCCCACCTTCCCCAGCCGGTCCACAGGGTGAAAAAAGTTGGGAACCCCTGATATAAATTAAGCCACACAGTTAAGGCAGGTTGTTTTTCAACCTCCCTCTCTCCCTCCCTCCCTCTCTGTGCAATGTTTTCCCAAGTATATATGTTTGTTTCAATTTAGCTACTGAACTGTCCTCATAATTCTGCCTTTACTATTTGTGTATATAGATATTTGTAGTATAAATACTGACCAATTTCTTCAATAATTTTATTCAAAGATCCTTGTGCAACAAAATATTTACTCTGGAAAGGGCTGGTGGGTGGCCATGGTGAACTAGGTGGTTTCGAAACTTTTGCACTTGGCAAGGTTATTTCGACCTGACATACATAGCACAAACTCTTATCTGTGTTGATTAATGGTTGTTGCAAGATGGAGACCTCATCCAGGGTTATGTAATATTCCTTAGTTTTCTATTCGGGCCTAGGGTTGCCAGGTCAGCGGTATCTCATTCCCTGAGATTTCATGGCCCAAACGAGACAGCAGGCGGTGGGCTGTTGTAATGTCACAGAGCTGCAACAGGTAAGTGTTGGGAATGGCCTAACTACCTCTTGGCCAGCTGACTATGGAAATGGGCAGATGGCATTTCATCCCCTGCCTTGCTCCAAACTGCATGGTGAACTATCCCCTGGCTTTCTCTCTAGTTCCCTGCCCTTACTCCTGAGTTTTTAGTGTGCCGATGCTGTATGAGTACAAGACACACACAAACACCTTTGTGCTGGTGCCAGCTAAAATGGGTGGAATGAGGTCCCTCGGGCTGAAAGACAAAAATCAAACTTTATTCTCCTTCAGTGCCTCTAGCCTTGAGATTTGGCTCCATCCTCACCCTGAGGCCTGAAGAAGGACAGCGATTCCCTATGCTTCTTTAGGTCTCTCTTCTCTGGGAGAAGAGCATCTCGACATGGAATGGGAAGAAATGCATAGAATGCATTAAAAACTGATAAGAAGTGAACTACATGTTTCTACCTTATTGAAATATTACCAGGCCAAAGAATTTCAAGAGGTTTGAGAATAATAAAGAACTAAACATGTTTAGAGAGAAGGATGAATTTATGCGCAAGTGGAATGCCATTCTTAACAAATGCTCTCAGGATCTTATGATATCGATTATTGACATGTCACCTGGCGTCAACATAAAGAAGACTTTGAATGAACAGATGGAGAAATAGAAATAACATCTAACTCAAGAGAAAGAACAGAAATTGGCTACTCTCGAAAAAGAACTCATGAATTTTTATGAGGTACTGAAACCATTTAAATGCAAGAAACTTCTCAGAAATGGACTCTGCCTTCAAGGGAGTTTACCCTTGGCAATACAAAATATCTAAGAAGTTGTCTTATTAGCTGGAAGCAAACTCCACAGCTTCATACAAAGACTGGGAGTCTGCAGGAGATGGGAGCAGTGATGCTGAGAACACACAGGGATCGTCTATTCCGGAGCTAAGAGAAAGATGCAACAAACGGAACAGATTGCAGCCACACCACCAAAACCAGAAAGAGAGCTATCAAGGCAGCATCTACCCCAATCTGATTTACCAGAAGACAATGGTAGTAAATCTTTGCCATAGAGATCTACCGTATTTGCCGGCGTACAAGATGACTTTTTGGGCTCAAAAAACATTCCTCCAAGTGGGGAGGGTCGTCTTGTACGCCGGGTGCACTGAATGACGCGGGGCTGCACTGGCCGGGGAGGAAGGCAGGTGGGCGGGCAGGCAGTCAGTCAGTCAGTCGGTCTATATGGAGA